GTGGAAAGTCTGCTTTCAAAAAGGGGTACTCATTTGGGTTGACTTTCAACTAGCTAACCATTAACTACTTACGTATTCCAGTGCGATGGTTGCTGCTCGTCACAGAAGCAGTCGTATGGCCTTCGGCGCTCGAACATGAGGTATCGCATGGAGATGACGACCAGGGATTACGCCGAACACCTTCAAATTTGTGGTTCATTTAAATATTTGATGTTTGCAATATTGTTTAGCCGTCCGGACTTTTGTGAGAAGATGCCGAGGGAAAATGTTCAAAAGCAACGGTATGCCTTGCTAACCAGAGTCCTATGAGAAAAGAAGTTGTTTCACAACAGCCATAGGAAGGCCTTTTAGATACCTAATCACTTACAATAAGAAAACGGCCTAACAAAAGAAATGTGTGAGCTTTACCAGCCAGCTCGTCGTTGATCGAACCGCATAGATTATAATTTCTATTCAGAAAAATTCGACGGGAACAATGAGCACTCACATGGTTGACGAAGTAAGCGTAATTATCCGTGGTCAGCACTTTGAACGCGACGGGATTTTCTCCATGATTAACAAGAATTACTGGATGGTTCTGAGGAGGGCGACCCAACTGTAACAAGCTTCTTTTTGTGTTGTGCGTTCGTTAGTGGCGACATTCAAGTGAGTAAGCCACTGCATTAGGCTGAGCTTTAGAGAGGGGATTCTAGAGTAGAATGTGAGGTATTTTTGTTCTCCTTGGCGTATCTCCCCTCTACTGGGCATAGTCCTACTTAGTGCCACCTAATATCGGCCCTGTTCAAAACATTCCCCCAAAGCCATAAGCGCCACCAACTATATGCACGGATACCGAAGCAAATATTGAGCCGGCGATATACATCCCTTCAAAAGATGAATTCCTGCTGTGACTTGACTAACCTTCCGACCGTAGACAAGGTAGTTTCTATTAATTGAAACCAAAATTCTGGGCTCGATCAATTCCAGATCCGGATCTTTGTCGGTCCATATGTGGGCATCGTTCGAGTTGTACGGGAGTGTGATCTTGAAAGAAATCCTTTGGTTCAGAGTTTGCAGAATTTACTTGAATCAAGAGATCAACCGACCGTGTTCATGGCGTAAGGCAGAATTGAGCTCATTGAATGTCTTTCTTCCACCGTTGTGTTATCAGAGCACTATAACCGAATCATATTTCATCGCAGTTCCCTGTTAGCGAAAGAGATCGCGCTAAAGGAGCCCTAGGTACCGCCTGCATCCATATCATTCTGAGGGACGCGCTTGCATGCATATTGCATTCTGAGGAGATGCAAGAGGTTAATAGAATGAATCGCATCCATACTATGCAACTGTACGATTACTGGCAAATTTTCACGCAATATAGTGACCAAAGTATCGCGCACTTCTATTTGTGAAAAAAGGGATTTCCATACAGCATCGGCATCGCTTTGGACCAACTCAGACACATGTGCTCCAAGCGTCAAAACGATAGAAACGAAACGGCGCAACTAACAAGGAAAAGATCACGAGGACGATATAAGACATTAGAACAATTTGTGAGTAGATCAGTATTATGTTCTCATGTTGCGCCGTTTTTATCTAATAAATCTGGAAATAAATCTGAGTAATGCTTAGCGAGATTCACGCTTACAGACCCCAACCAGAGCGCTGAAATGGTGTGTCGGCCTACTAGCAAGAACTCTAGGTCACCACAAGGTGAAGCAATGACCATTGTAATCTGAAAAATCATGATATACACCACCTCTGCTTTCATTTGTGAGCTGCTCACCTTCTCTTAAAGCAACAGTCCCAGCAGGGTCTGCTTCTTTCAATACTAATGGCACTAAAGGATGCACAGGCCCTATTGGAGAACATCTGAAGTGTAGTTATAAAGAAAACTCACCTGGGAAAAGCCTAAAAAGGGTTTAAACTCCTCAAAGATGGGTGTGGTTGGAGATTTCTTCGGGACCGCCCACTTGCCAGCCGTGATTGGCTACGGAGGCATTCGTGCTCGTTTTGGGACCACAGGAAAGATTTCAACCCTGTCCTTCAAAGTAATCAATGTGATCATGCCTGTTGCACTGGAATGTTTCTTTTTTTTGCTGTTGTGATCTTGTTATGTTATGTATAGTGTTATGTAATTATGTTAGTGTTATGCAACTGGAGCGCATTTAGTGCGGGCAAGTTCAGACAACTCGTCCAACGCGCGTCTTCCCACATCGCTAAGCGCAGAAGGGGAGTCCCTGTTTAAAGCCCTGTTCGGCGTTTTTCTTTGGTTTTTTCGTCACTATCGGTCAAATTGTCGCCTATAACTACATTATCAACGGTATTTACCCCGCAAATTCGTCCTGGGATTGTTGCTTCAAAGGCTTCTTTCCATTAGCTGTTTGAGTGTTTCATCCCTTCGAGCTTTTTTCCATGTTCCATCGTTTCCTGTCTTGAAGCACCCAGCTAAGCGTAAGTGTGGGGTGAAATGCCGTTTTTGCCGAAAAAATATTGTTCACTGCTGAGCACAAATTCAAAATTATTAAGAATTTATTGTAAACTCTTGTGTTTCTCAAAGATGAGAATAGAAATCATAAACAAAACAAGATATATGCACGTCATCGTTAAAGGAGTACTCCTGTTCAACGGAAGTGACTTCTGGTTCCTGAAAAAAGCAGGGATTAGCTGGTGATATTTCACAATAATAAATTGCTATGCTTACCAAATCTACAGTGAGTGTCGGAAGGTTTAACGGTCGACTCGTACAGGTGGAAGTTTGAAAAACGCTCGCAACCGATTGATTCCTGCAATAGCTCTTTTAAAGGACATCCTGAATATGTTTAAGTGGGTATATCTTCCAGGGAGGTAGGTTAGAGGTCTCTAAAAAGGTGGCAAACGTCCATTTTCCTGGCTCCTGACATTCGTAGTGGCGTTTGAATGCGATGTGGCCTATACAATGACTTGCGGGGGCCAGCCGATGTACAAGTCAGTGTTTTTATCCTCCCAGACAAGTCTGGTACCAATTAACCGACCCCGGAGGGATGGAAGGCTTGGTTGGCCCGGGCGACCAGGATTTGATCCCCGGACCGCTCGCGTGGTAAGCGTGCCACTTGCCACTTTACCACTTCCCTTTCCGGTAATGTCTTCAAATTATACCAATCATTCCCAAACAAGTACCCCTACATGAAGTGCTCGAAAGAACTAATCAAAAATTCTCTCCGTACCTTCGCCAAGTTCGCTTTTGCTGCAACTGAACACTAATCGCATCCATCCAGGCTGAGGGCAGAGGACGTGTTGTCCGGGGGTTAGCATCACTCCACGATCACAGAACGTTTTCCAGAGAGACAGCTCTGCCTCGAATGTTTGTGAACGAAGGTGCTGGAAACAGAAAAGACTTCTTTTTTTTGGAACTACCAGAGAAGACAAAGGTAATTATACCTTTCTGAAGTCTATCATCACAAAACAACCAGCGACTGCAGGAGTGAATTCCAAACCAATGTCATGTAGATTTTTTACAAGAAACTCGTAATGATCTGATAATCTCGCCAGCTTCAAAGAGTGGAAATTCCGAAGCCATTCTGAATAATAGTTGAATTAGAGCGGTTATTTTAAAGATATATTCACAGTCTTTTCCAATGAATATCAGAGACAGAAGAGATTCTTATTTAAAGTCGGGCGCAAAAGTCTGCTTATAACAAGGAAACTGTATCTCTAAGCCACAGTTCTGCTCGAATGTTTGTGAACGACGATGCTTGGGAATGGAAAAGCCTTCTTTTTTGGTCAGTACAGAGGAACAGGTAATTAGACCTTTCTGAACTCTTCGTGGACATATCGCGCCAATTGAGGGCGTCTGATAATTTTTTCAACCTGAAATTTCTATTCAGGAAGTTGTTCGTAACCATCCTCTTGCCTCTACAGTGGCTCAGTCAACCTTGTCTGCTCATAGAGCGAATTTCGGCACTATTCCACTATTACTGCCCCAAAATCTCAAAATTTTATTTTTCGTCGAAACTTTGCCTATAAGGGTAATTCGATGCCCTGATTACGAATATGACATTCATTTTTGATGCTGGCGCCATTTGGCGCCAGTTGGCGCCACCTTGTCACGACGGCTGTTTTCACGAAATTCGGTGTAAACTTGTAAATAAGGGTTATTTGGTGTCCTGATTATATTTTTCTGCTCTCCTGGGCTCTCTCACTTATACATGTGCTGGGACTAACCAGGGAAGGCATTCAACTTCCCATGGAACTTTGAGATGAGACCCAGATATATCGATAGAGCTTCAAACGCTGATTACAAATATGGAAACTAAAACTGCAAAATGAACCTGCCAAGGAAGTTGTGAGCAGTCAAAGTTGGCTGGAAGTAAAGCATTACATATACTTCTTGAGTCATCGCTGCTTTCAAGTTCGAATTGGCAAAGCCTTTTCTAGTGTTAAGACTGCCCCAAGTGGTGTCCCACAAGGAGGGGTTCTTTCACCGGTGTTGTTTTGTATCTATACATACGACTTACCTAGGGTGGTGGAGGATTTGAATGTCAAATGCAAAGCATTCGCAGATGATGTCAAGATTTACCAGGAATTAGGATCTCGAGAGGATGCTGAGACGCTCCAAGAAGCCATTGAGGCAGTTGTCAAGTGGTCCGATGTGTGGGAGCTACCATTGGCTTCCAACAAAACTTTGGTTTTGCATCTAGGCAGGCCCCAGGAGAGGAGCGCCTACTACATAGGTGGTTGCGAACTCAATGAGGTTGAAGCGGTTAGGGACTTGGGATTTCTCATTGATAACAAGCTGAATTTCGAGTCACATTGCGCCGCTATAGCCAATAAAGCTGAAGTCAGGCTATTACAACTCTTTCGAACTCTATACACCAAAGATCCATGTATCCTCATCAAGGCTTATAAGTCGTACATCCGTCCTATTCTGGAGTATGGATCGATTATTTTCTTTCCCCACAAGAGAAGACCATCTCCAGGTTAGAGTCTGTTCAAAACAGCTTTACTAGGAAGGTTCTGGTCCGTTCTTTAGGTTTCAACTACAATGTCATACCCAGGGCTGTTGTCAGGAACAAAATGCTTGGTCTGGAATCTCTTCTTCGCAGAAGGGAAAAGACTGATCTCATTATGTTATTCAAAATACTTGTCGGGAAAGTGCCGATTGATTTGCAAAGCCTCTTCACTGTTCTTCCTTCTGTTACTAGAGGAGAAAAGTTCAAATTAGTTCGTCCATTTGCTAGATCCAACACCAGAGCAAATTTTTTTTCTCTTCGCGCTTCTAGTGAATTTGGTAAGCTCACCAAAAAATTCGCCATGCCCAGCAGTTTATCGCACTTAAAAGAAAATATTTACAAATTCTACAGTGCGTACCAAAAGTATGTGGACACCCTAGAATCGATTCTCAGGAGTCAGCTAAAGGCTTTTTGTGTTATGAAACCTTCACCATTCAACTCCTAGTGGTCGATAACCTACAATGACATTCTCGGCAAAAGATTTCGTTCTAACTTAGCGAACTATTTTTCATGGAAAGTTTTTTCTTTGTATCAAAATTATGTGGACACCCTGAGGCAGATGAAGTTTTTGCATCGATTTCCTAACCTATTTTTACTTCTCCTTTCGTTACTTATTCTGGCATCATTCCTCTTCACGGCAAGCGTTTTTCTGAAGAAGACCGAGCACAGAAATGGGATCCCCATGCTTCTGAACCTTCCTATTGCGAAATAGCACGTCAACCAGTCATGCGTCCTCGTAGGTTTGGAGAGAAATCCGAAATCCTGATGCTAAGCTCTCGACCTTGACTGAGGGTTGTTCTCAATCGCTACTTGTTCAAAACAGGAGAATAGCCTTAATTTTCTCAAATTTTTCTTTTCGTACTACTCAACTTCACGCATAAATGATCTTCCCGATCTTAAAAAAGACCAATCGGTGTCTCATTCAATCAATTGAGCACACGACACGAAAGAAGATGAAGAAGGCTTTGTATATGAATGCGGGTTCAGGTTGGCAAGGTTGGAATTCCCACTCAAAAAAAAGGATCACAACATGATACTTTGAACCCACACAGACAGTGCTTTCGTGGAAATGGTAAAATTAGTATAAAAGACTTTCTGTGGAAATTTCTCTCATAGACCAACTCGACTGGCAGAAAGAAGCTTATTCCTTACTATTCGGGTGGGTCTTGAGGTTTTTGGAGAGACTTTGGTCGGACCCGCAGATGTGCTCGAAGAGACAATTCGGAAGATGTTCATCAAAGGTCTGGGGTGGTTCCAAAAGGAGGGGGACATTGAAGTTTGGCTTGCCAACATGTCAGGTAGACGACTAGGATTATAATGAGGTGCTTGAGTCCCGGCTACAACCTTTTTCGAAAAGTCATGGTTGCAAATCACTTGTTTTGCAGGGGAGGTCCCTGACACCATTCCATTTGGAAAAATGCTAAACGCAACGGCTTTGATTGGCAAGTCGGCTAGCGTATTCCTCAGACTTCATCCTTATTGAAAACGTAGAGGTATCGTGGTTCGCGGTCTCTACGTCATTGAACAAAAGAGTAATATCACAAGTGACCTAACACGTCGGTGAAATTTGCTAGTTGGGAACAGATCTGCAAGACATGTATCCAGACCCCATTCATAGCATGCCAAACAGAATGGCTCAACTTACTAGAAACTTTGGTAGGCCTACCGATTTCAGATTCTGAAGATATTGCCGTTTTTCAAAAAGTGTCCACATAATTTTGATACAAAGAAAAAACTTTCCATGAAAAATAGTTCGCTAAGTTAGAACGAAATCTTTTGCCGAAAATATCATTGTAGGTTATCGACCACTAGGAGTTGAATGGTGGAAGGTTTCATGACATAAAAGCCTTTAGCTGACCCTGAGAATCGATTCCAGGGTGTCCACATACTTTTGGTACGCACTGTATACTTTAGGCTTCAAATTTCTCATATTCAAATCTGATTTTTAGAGGATGGACAATCATATTCACTAGTAAAATTTTGTTGTTCTACTTCATTTTCTTATGATGTCTTTTTTCTAGTTGTGTTGTTACGTCTTGGCACAGTTTTGTTGTGTTTGTCCATGTACTTTTGTACATGCAAATAAATAAATAAATAAATAAATAAACTGTGCCAGCTCCCGGGCTTTCAGAGTCGCAGTGGAGTAGTGGTAGTGCTCTCGCTCCCAGCCTTCAGGTCGTCCATTCTCTGTCCGTTGGAGTGCAACTTTCGGGAGGCAACCACTACTAAATGACGATCGAATGCCCAGACGGTACCACGATTCATATGAAACGCTTTATTTCCAGCCAACTTTAACTGCTCACAACTTACTTGGAGAGTTCATTTTGCAGATTTAGCTTTCATTTTTGTAGTCAAAAAGCTATCGAAATATATGGGTCTCGATTCATAAGTTCCATGGAAGCCTGAATGCCTTTCCTGGTAAGGTTCATTGGAGAGGACTCCGAGGTGGGTAAACCACGCAGCATGTGACAAAAGTTGAAGTGTGTGATATCAGGGTGAGTGGCTCACTCACCTCTGAGCCTCCTTTCCCCAAGGGCTCAGTCCTGATAGTGATCAACCCAGTGCGAGGGCGCAGACGCGACAAGTGGCGCAAACGTTAAAAATAATCTAGTCGTAATCAGGACACAAATAACCCCTATGTACAAGTTCACACCGATTTCGTGAAACTGCCGTCGTGACAAGGTGGCGCCAACTGGCGCCAAATGGCGCCAGCATCAAAAATGAATGTCATATTCGTAATCAGGGCATCGAATTACCCTATACACAAGTTTCGACGAAAAATAAAATTTTGAGATTTTGGAGCAGTAATAGTGAAATTGTGCCAAATTTTCTTTTTCTCTCAGCATCGGATAACGAGCTCTGCAAACCTTGTACCCCAATTTGCTTCAATATGGTTGAAGTATCAGTAGCAGAAAACGAGTCTTCAGGGGGTACTCGACCTCTTCAGAAGAAATTATTCAAAAAGTAAGGTTCAGTAGGAGATAGATGTTCGACTAAAAACACACTAATTGCCAGGTCAGAGGTGAAAGGTTGTGAGTGCGATGGCTGGAAGGTGGACCCATATCGAAACTTGATCAGCGTGATGAAAGAGGAGAGCAATGGCCGGGATCTCTCCTATCGCCCTCCAACAAATACGCCTCAAAATTACTCAGCCATCACACTCACTGCCCACTCCAGTCACTCCATTTTTACCCACTTCTCTCTGATATGATTTTCCATTGGGACTGCCCTGCCTATCAATCGCCCCTCTCAGCCGGTGCCAGCTTTTGACACAGCCATTGCTGCTAGAAGCTTCATTTCACAAAAAAAACTTTTCAAAATATTTGTCATTGAGGTCAGCCCCCGGTCGGGCCTGGTCAGGAGAAAAAATAATCGTAACTTGAAGAAAAGCATCTCACCAAAGTCAGAAAGAAGTGCTGTTGCGGCATCGTGAGCCAGGGCAGATACAGGATGAATGAGTTCAAGTCGTGACAGCGACTTCAGAAGTTTCGGACATGATGACTGCACCACAGATATTTTCATTCCAGGAATACCAAAATCCTTGAAATGGTAGAGTTAATTTGAATACGGAAATAGCATTCAATCTCGTGTTTTACCTTGCTCAGACTCCATAAGTAGAAAACGTTTTCTGGCTTGATGACCCGATGTCTATAAGTGAGAAAACTCCTGAAGTTCGTTGAGCCAAAGACACACGAGGTGAACGATTCATCCACCAGAACCACTAGATCGTTCCTGAAATCAGCTTCGTCCTGTTCACTGTGAAACATTAACGACAGCGCGACGTTGCTGCACCTCTCCTTTCACACGAAGGAGGCTCTCTTTCTACAGATATCTTGTTTTTAATTCGAACTATCCTTGTACTTACCGGATCCTGAAAACTGAATGCTCTCTAACAATCATGTTGTTGAAGGGTTCAAGACTATAGAAATAATTTACATAAAAGGATCCGAAATACACTCATAAGGGCCGTCGTCAATGTGTTAAGAGAGGAAATGGCGATAAAATCCCAAGCCACAGTTACATAAGCCGCATATGGAGCTGGGCCACATAGCGCGTCAAACAAACATGACGCGGCCATGAAATTTCTAACCGATGGCCGATCAAACCTTCTACCTTCAGGATCAAAAATTTGGTACCAAACCCATATGAACATAACAGCCTAGCCTTGCCTAGTCTCTGGTGGGTAGGAAATCGGCATCCAAAACGCTTCCTACGATTGTGAAGGGAAGTCGTGTGCATGGCGCATCCAAAATAACGCCGAACACTTGCCTTCTTTGACACTGCTACAAACTTTTTACGAGTACTCAGCATAAGGCTACATACCTCGTTGCCCAATTACACAGCCGAATCACGTCATCGACTGGGAACACAATTCCGAGCGGGTTGTGCGGATTAATGATGAGTACCGCCCGAACATTTTCTCCCTGAAATAGGATACTTGCTAAATAGAGATCAAACTCATCTATACATTAGCTGTACTTTCTGTGAATGAGTTTTCCTCAAAAGACATTGAAGAGGATGGTGGTGGCGGGCAGGTGCAGATAGAGCAGCTGGCAACTACACACTATACTGGCACAAAATCTCCGTATGGACTGCATCCCCGTTTGATGGAGCCCTCCGCCGGAAAATCAATCACTACCTCATCCACAAATCACTGGCGCTTACCGTTCACAGATAGGAAAAACAGAATAAATAAAAATGGTGTCCGGTTTCCGTAAACAACTGCGAAAAATCGGAAAAAGGAATGTCGCGCGTTCAAATTCCCGATCGGACATCTGTCCACAACAATGCGATCGGTGGTAACGCTTTCAATCGGTTTCTCCTTTACAGAAAACCTAGACGAAGAAAGGGTTGATATTTGTCACTAAGAGTCACATGGAACTTTTTCTAAACTGTTAGTTTAGGGCACTAGCATCTCATAAACCCACTACGAAGGCGAGTGAGCCTTCAACCTTGACGTTTTCAGCCGATTTTTTTTCTTTTTCAATGCTGCCGGCCTATTTTGCTCAATACATTCCTATTCATGTGCAAGAACCGCACCACTTTGATCCTGGGTCATGCCTTTTAATAAAGAATGGTTGTAACTGCTTATGTATAGGTCACAAATGCGAGCTTGTTTCTCTAACTTGCATATGAACCCTGCTTCATAGTCGACCCACTTGCGAAGTACTAAAGGGCTGTGATTGCGATGGCTGCGCTGAGGAGTGGTGCGTGCGGCTTTGATGAAGTCACTGAGCGTCAGAGCTAGACTAGACTTCTTGGCGCGCTGGAGGATGTGGTTGAGACCGCTTCTTAACACCCTTTCACGGGTGTACCCATAGGCCCGTCGCGCGGCGAAGGAAAAGACGACGCAGATGCGGCAAAGGACGAGTCGCAGCGCGTGCTGTGCGATATGAGACGTAGTATGGTACACTCTATTTAACCTGACGCCTAACCGCTACAGTATGCGCTGCGACTCGTCCTTTGCCGCGTCTGGTCTCTTCCTTCGCCGCGCGGCAGGAACACTGTGACCCATTAGCGTTGCGAAAATGTTTTTCTTCGTGTATACTGCAGAGAAAAATTTTAAAAAAGATATACCTTTGCATGGTGAGGCGTCCAGAGCCCGTTGATACTTAGAAACGTCTAGTCTGGGTAGATCCATGTCCATCTGAATCAGTGAGTATTCATTATTGTATAGTTTGGGAAATTCAAAGTCTCGGGCAAATTGTACGTCAAAGATACCGAACCTCGACTGGTCGTATTCGACACTCAGCTCTGGAGCCAAAATTCCTGACTGAGGCGGCGTAAGTGGGTGTGCTTGTCAGTACAATATCTGAAAATACGTCAAGATTGTGCTGCCCCGAATTCAATTTACGAATATGTCGAAAACACTGTGAGACTCCAAAAATGCTATATTTTGCATGGGACGATACTTCGGTGCTGTCCTTCTTCTTTACTGAAAAACTTCAGTTGACCAGTCAACCAAAATTTGTTAAATATAACTAATTCGCCCTGCTTCGATTCCTCTAATATACTTATACCACTCGCGAGCAGGGTCAACCATCCGTTCGCACTATTTGAGGGAGGGGGTCGCATTTGTGGTTTCGGGAAGGGGGAGGGGCGCATTATGGGGTTGAGCGAGGTTAATGATCTTTGGAGAAGCGCCAACGGAGGTGGGTAAAAGGGGTTGCCATTTAGACGGGATTTTTGGTGGAAGTTCTACGAAAATACCCTGCGGCTGTTTTGAAAGAAGAAAGTGGGCGGAGTTAGGCTGTGTCGAGTGGTCTCAGGAATCAAATACTATAGAAACAGCCATGATGGCGAGGGTGGTGGTCGGAGAAGGGGAAGGGATCGTATTGGGGGAGCCTCCTGAAGTCTCATGGTGGTGGTGGGGGTCGCATCGAGACCCCCTAAAGGGAGGGGTCGCAGAATTTTTGAAAAAGTGCGAACGTGACGGTTGACCCTGCTCTTGTGGTTGGCCTGGAACAAAATCGGGTGCACCTATCCGACTCTTAAATATATACAACAGACCACGATCAGTGAAGGTAGCCACACAATTACATATTGGAGGGGACACGTACGCAATGTGAAACATAAACAGATCGAATACATCCAGAACAAAAAAAACTCAAATACAATTTCTTCAAGAGAAGCTATTTCATTAGAGCTCTTGGATTCGCACCTAATCCCGCGGCGGGGACTAGTTATGAAATAAGAATGCTCATTTAAACACCCGCTCTGCCGTAAAATTGAGAAGAGAAATGGAACAAATATATATCGGAATCTGGCCATATCCTAGCAAGCGAGTCATAGTGCAGAGAGCTAAATTGAATTTGTGAGGCAGATTGCACGATCAATGTAACTAGAAGGGGAAGAACTCATGCTCACTTTTTCGAACAGGTTCCCCGTACTTTGGCATGAGCGCAGGAAATCTTCACAGTATTCGTGCCGTGAATGGGGAGTATTTGAAAGAATAGAAGCAAAGTGTTAAATTTCGGCGTACTTTTTCCGGACTAATTTCAAAGGCCCTGTCCTCTTCATTGTCGTTCAGTGTGTCAAACAATGATATTTCACATATTGTTCAAAATCATATATCAATCGCACCAGATGCGTAAAGACCAATAAATTGGTCTCGCAATATTGTTTTACTCTAGTGCGTAATTTGATATTTATGCTCGTGTCGTTTTCCTTTACTTCTCGTTCCCAGTTGCGTCTTAAGTTGCTGTTGTTACTAATTCTTTTCCACACGTGATGCATGCAATAAAGTAAAAAGAGAATAAGAGTAAAACAAACCAATAAAGCTAAAAACTCAAACAAATGAAAAACAAGATGAAAATTACTGATCTCTTTTTTTGAGATTTTCGAGAATTACTTTTTTGTTCTAATTTTGTAGTAAACTTTGAGAGCATCACAGTGTTTTCAACAGTTACATATATATTTAAAATGTATGTTGAAAAATATGAGGCTGACATGAGTGGTCAACGTCTATCACATACCAGAGGCTTCACAAGTGCAATGACATAGCATGTCATAGCGGATGTGCTCGACGGTAGAACGACCAATTCCTCTTCAGTCACTGTCGCTGACATGAAACTCAGCCATATATCGGCACAGCGCTCGTTTTGTGCTGAAAATATTGAAATATCTCGATTGGAGATGGCTGAGCGTGCGGATTTGAGCGCATCTCACAACTGTGGTGCGCCATGTCTTCGGCAATTGTCAAGAATTATGGACGTTTGAAAGGGTATTCGATATACGTGGAATAGCGGTGCGCAGCAGTGCCCAAGTCAGTGTCTTTACTTGCCATAAAAGTTTAAATAATGAAACACCAACGAGAATAGAAATAATGAAATAAATAACGAAATACAAGGAGATACTAGTTGATGGGCTGAGTAGATTTAGAACTCGAAAGCGCTTTGAAACCAAGGCCTTTAGCCACCGGACTGCCAGTGTTTAACGCCCAAGATGGTGTTTACTGCTACTACGGTTTTGCTGCACTTTCTATCCACACGAAAAACCGTTAGGATTCTTAAAAAGGCAGACGGTATTCCTGACAAATAATGAATCATCGCTTAGCACAAAGTTCTATGTGAAACAGACCTTGAGTGCCCTCCGGCAGGAGGATAATGTATCAGATGCGCCTCAGTCGGTGAGAATCCTTTCTTTTGCAGTTGCGCCATGAGCTCATCGGAACAGACATTATTCTCGGCTGTGCAAAAATTGATGTTGCCCTGAAAAGAACTTCCTATTGATGAGCAAGCTGATATCTTTCCTCAAGTTACGGTTTAAGAAGTCACCCATTTCTTCAAGTCTTTCTTAATGACAAGTCCGCGATCGAATAGATGTGATTAGTGCCTTTGAATTAAAAACGAAGGAACAGAAGGATCGCAGAACAAACTGACAAAAACATTGAGAGTGAGGGCTCCTCATCGGATGAGGACTAGACAACGAGACAAACACCCTACATAAGGAATAAAGTACGCTGAGACAGTAAAGATAAGGGAGATGTAGACGAGAAGGCGTAGAGGACACTTCAAACGTTGAC